TCATACACAATGAGCTCGGTTCTTTAACGACACATTCATTCATTCAATTTTATGTTTCTCTATTTACTGTATTTATACATATACACACGTGATACTACACTAAATAAAAAAGATTCACAAATGTGAAATTGTATTTTAAATAATCTCCAGCCCCTTCTGTAACAATCGTGTCTAGATCTGGTCTAAATGGTTTTATAGTCTGAGGTGTTCTTTTTTCGTGTTACGAAACTTTAAGGAATGAAACAGATTTCTGCACTCCTTATTTCAAACTGGGAGCTTTGGCCTCATGGTGGCGCTAGAGAAAAGGTCAGAGGGTCCCATGATGGCATCATAAATCCTTTTCCTGATCGTGAATATCCATAACTTCCTGATAAGTCATGTTTTTGTTATTGTACACAAGTTTTCATTGTGAGACGAAGTATTTAAGTGTTTGATGTTCAGTTCTGTATGTACACTTTCTGTGGATTAAATAAAGTTGTTTTTATAAAAGGTTGAGTGTAAGTGGAGTCAGATTTTCTCTGCACAGCGGTTCTTCTTTCCTAACTCCTTATATCTTCTCCTTCTCATCTTTCCTTGACCTTGTGACATATTTCATCAGGGTCAAGGAACAGTGGTTAGGAAAGAGATTATTTTTCACGCTACATGATGTCATCACCACAAGATGGCAGCGTTTGTATCAGAGACATGAACCAGAGGAAGTGGAGACTTGTCGTCCATTTTTATTAACAATCGAAGTTCCAGGGAAACAGATCAAAACATTCATGGATGAACGGACACAGAAATCAGTTTGAGTGAAAACGCTGGGAAACATGGCCGCTGTTAAATTAATTTACAAAAGAATAAATAAATCACACATGAGGTCAAAACTGCCAGAGTCATATATAAATATTAAAAAAAGAGTAGAAATCAATAAATGACGTAAATGTGTCAAAATGAAGTTAAATTCATTTAATTTTAAGGATTAAACTATGAAAGTTCTCAAACTCAGAGCTCATTGTTCCGTGCAGACGCTTCAGACAAGACGTCTGATTGGTCTTAGTCCAGTGGACTTTGGAAGATGAGTCTGATGCAGCCGACGTCTCCGCTCAGCGGCTGGATGCAGAATGGGCAGGCGGCATGGAAGGCGTGCGTGCCGTGCGGCAGCAGGATCTGACTCCAGTACGCCGCTGTCTTCTTGGAGCAGACGTGACCACAGGGGACAAAGGCGTGAGTGGGGGGCTCTGCATCCAAATAGAATCCCGCCTCACAGCCCAGCCACAGCGGCACGTAGGGGCCCTGTGCCCGGCACATGGGGCACTCTCTCTCCTGACAGTCCACCTCCACCTCGGGGTGGCGACGCCCCCCCCAACCATGGTAGCCGTGCACGTGGCCGCAGCGCAGGTAAGCCCAGGGCTGCTTCTCGTCCAGGACGTCTTTGCGGCGCAGGCTGGGGAAGGCGAGCGTATTGAAGCCCACCGGACACTGCGGCCGCCCGGCGTTCAGCTCCTGCCGCAGCACCTCCAGGTGTTTGACGGTGGGAGTGTGCGCCAGGCCCTCGGCCGTCCGCCACAGCAGGGTGGCGCCGCACAGGTCGATGAGCGAACCATCCACCAACTCGTTGGACTCAGAAGAAACCTGAAGAAGAGAAGGATGAAACGGCTTCGTCCACACGAATACGATTTATTTTAAAAACAGAAATGACGTCGGTCCAGACGAATCTGTTCAGATCTTTATCAGACAGTTTTTTTGTGCGTTGATGGTGAGAAAGATTCAAAATGAGCTTCTCTACAGCTGGAGGAGAATTCTATGTGACAGGGTTGGTGTTCAGTTAATCAGTTTCTCAGTATTTATAACTTTTCCTCTGTTTAATTTGCTCGTGTGCGTTCGTGCTCAGTGTGTTCTCACCGTCTTCCCCCTCTGCTGAGCCGACCTCGTCTCCCGCAGCATGAGGACGTCGCCGCAGACTGAGATTTCCCTCCACAGGCCGGGTCTGGAGTCCTGGCTGAAGCCGTGACGCGGGTGCATCACCAGGACACCATTGGTGGTCAGTCCGTCCATCTGGCCGTCTTGCATCCTCCACTTGGCCGCCCTCTCCTGTTAAAAAACTTTTAGTGTTTAATGTTTTAAAGGTTCAGTGTGACAGATTTAGGTGAAAGGGATCCATTGGCACAAATTGAATATAAAATAATTCTCATGATGTGTGTTTCGTCTAAATTGTATGAATTGTTGTTTTCTTTACTCTA